TTAAACAAAATTACATTATATTTGTGCCAGAGGGAAATAACCAACTCCTAAGAATTAATTTTCAATGATGGTCAAGTTAAAATTTAAATAAACAAAAAAACTGTATTTAAAGAATTATAATGTGAACAATCTCCAGATTAGACAGGGAATAGTGATATTCAAATTTGCATCACTTACTGTTTAAATATTAGACTATATATTCCTTTGTACACTGCAAATATGTTCCCTGAACAAACAAGAACAGTAGTAATTCACTGTTACTACTATGTAGCAAGAACAAAACCCAAAGAAGATGTAGAGTAATTCAATGTCACTAATTATTGTTACCATATGTAAGAGCATTCACTAGGGTCTTGAAATCTAAGTGCCAGTTCTGTAGCATATTCTGGATCTCTCCATGATATAACTGTATCTGAAGAACACCAAGATATCTTCCATAAAAAAACAATATCTCATACCTTTCAAGCACAAACAAATGACACATATTGAGGGTTCACAAAATGTTACCATTTACCTTCTTGTTTCGTATAGATATCATCAGAAGTAATGTGATGCAAAAGTAGGGTCTCATTGTTTTCTTCTCTACAAACAAATAAACCCTGTCCCTGCCCTTCCCAACGCTGCAATCATATTAAGAATAATAGAAACAAACATTTTTAAGTAGATGAGAGGAATGTAATAATAATCAGACATTTGAGAAATCAGTGCCTATGAATATCACCAATCCTTGTATGCACTGACCCTGGACATACATGCAATAGTACATATATAAAATAGGCATGTTAGTCACAAATGAAAGCTCTATCAAAACAACTACAAACCTTCAAATAATATTATGGGGAACCTTATCATTTATAATAATATTTCGATTCAAGCAAGATTACATACATCCAATAAATGGAGGATGTACATGATTTAAAAGAAAATATTTAACCAAGTTGTATTTTCGAGAACTTAAACTTCAAATTTCTTGTTAAGCTAACCATAATAAGTATCAAGACTTTTTGTATGAACCTTAACCTTGTTTTGGGTAGCATCTTTTGTTAATTTGTCAGCTTCAGAATTGAGGATCTCTTCAAGTTCAAGCTACAGCAGCAAAGAGCAATTGTACAAGTAAATAAACAAGTGATATCAAATTATGGCACTAATAATGTTTGTAAATAATAGTCACCACCTTTGCTTGAGAATGGGCCAACTTCATCCTCCTATACTCTTCTTGTGCTTTCTTAGAACTGAACATGGCCTTTACACAAGCTACATACCTCTCCACACGTTCTTCGGCTTGTTTCCTACCCGCCCTGAAGAATTCCTCCTCTGTTTCATTTCCATGCTTGACATCTTTAATTTCTTGAACATGGTTAACCTTGAAGCCACATAAGCCTCTTCTCTTTAGGCGCCATCGCAGGATTGCTTTCTCGAGCACTCCAACGGACCAAATTATTTTATGATTTTGCTTCCGCACTTGATATCCCCTGAAGGCAGCCTGCATTCAAAATATATATGTAATTAATCTTTTCCTTGCTTTTAATATGATAAGAAATCGATAAGATGCAACTCAATACAGATTTGTACAACTTAGTTGCTACATTTAGAGAGGACTAATCTCATGTCCTATAACCTCAGTAGTGCTCATGTGAGCCAAGAAAAAAAACTGAATAGAGAAACTAAACTTAGAAGCCCGTTCCTTTATTCAATATTCTAGTGGTACCACATCAACATTCTCTCCAACTATAAGCTCTACTTTACATTTTGATTTAAGGGTAATCTCTGCATCCACTTGTCAAGCCTCATTACAAACTGGTGAAATGAAATTTACTAAAGTTAATGAGGAAGAAAAACAATTACTTTTTAAGGTCAGGTTAAAAGTGCCTTGATGAGCATGACAACCTAATAACTTATGGAACAAGTGATCACGATAAGATTTGTGCCAACTAACATCATTTCACAGTCATCTTGGCATATTTTAACTCAGGAAACGCATATTTGCTTGTGAGTGTAATATTGTGCACATCTATTCTCCACAGACCTACTAGCTGAGAGTCTCGTGCACTATCTCGTCCTTAAATTAACTCGGGCAATCAACACTAACAGATGCAGGAAGAATAGGTCTTACTTGAATTTTAATGGCCTGACATCGCTTGTGGGTAAGTTCTCTACGGAATCTCCACGTACGGAATCTATGCTGAATCAGAGCAGCAGCTGCCATCATTTTCCTACTGTCATAGTTAAGAATTCCAGCTATACTCATGTCGTTAAATTGTTCAACCAAAGCCTTTTTTGGAGTTGGATATGTGACCAAGTATTCTACATTATCATCTTGTGTAACATGCTTGTCATCCACATTACAAATTATTTTCTCCTTTTCACCATCACTCAATCTATCAATCTTTCTTATGATGTCTTCAACAATACTATCAATCAACTCATATTCGTACCTGCTCAAGTAGTAAAACTTCATATAAATTAATATGTATAAAAGGTTTCTACAAGAATATATACACAAATACATATATATACACAAATACACACATATATATTTATAGATAAGTAGATAAATTATAAGAAAAAGAATAAAGAACCTGTCACGGTTGAACTCCCAACCAGAGAGATGAGCTATTTTTGTCAAAGCAAACCTCCACTTTTCAATTTTGTCCTTATTATCAATGATTCTGGCTTCATGTTTGTTTAGTGCATCTGCATATTCTCCTTTCTGATAGCGAACATCAGAAGGGTCAACTTCATAAAAAACAGGCAAAACCAACATGCCCTTATCTTTTGAACAATCCATAATCTTCTCAAGTTCATCCAAACAAAAAGTTGAAGATGCATAGTTCTTAGAAAGAACTACAAGCGCAATCCTAGAGTTCTGGATTGCCTTATGAAGAGCTGGATTTATTTCTGCTCCTTTCTCAAGATCTTTATCATCCATGAAGCTTTTTATTTGTTTCCCACATAGAGCTCTATGAAGGTTTCCTGTGAAACCTGAACGTGTATCTATACCTCGAAAACTTATAAACACATCGTATACACTTCCATTCATTGAAGAAAGATAAAGATAAAGAAGAAGAAGAAGAAGAAGAAGAAGATAGCATAGCCAATTGTTATAGGAAATGGGGCGAAGCATGTCTATCTAGATATAAAAAATAAGAAGAACTCTACACGTTAAGCCCAAGTCAACACACGTTATTACCACACCTATGGGTGTATGAGTGAGGTTGGTGTGGGTCGTGGGATATCAAAATAAAAAGCATCCACATTTACATTTGTGTCTTTTTTGGATAACAAAATAAAACCAATATGCATCAACATTTGTATTCTTTTTACCTAAAGTTACATTATATTTTTGTCCTTAAAACTCAAATAAAATAATCAATTTCGTCTCCAGTAATGGAGAGAAGTCTCATTCTGGATGTATATATAAGACGACATAAATTATATTCTTCTTGCGAAACAAAGATCAACGAATTTACGTGCATAGTGTAGTTTGACTACACTATGTCACGTTTAGTGTACCTTTAATTTTAATTACGAGATTGATGTATTTTTTTTGGAAGTCGTGGATGGGGTCCACGAGATTGGAAGTCGTGGATGAAGTTCACAAGATTGGAAGTAGTGGATGGGTCCACGAGATTGGAAGTCGTGGATGGGGTACACGAGATGAGATTTTTTTATAATATTTTTTGAACTGTGTACCATTAACATGATTTCGTTGTAATAATAATTATAAAAATACATAGTAGTCTAGTAGTAAATTTTTGCATACTAAAGTGGAGATTCAAGGTTCAGCACTCACTCATTGTTTATTTTTTAATTTTTATAATTTTGACACATATTATTTTTACAATAACTCTAATACAATATGGTAAGATTACATTATATTCATTACCACATTTTACACACTCACATATTCATTATAGTAGTCTTGTTCTATTTTATATTGTATATTCATATGACAATGTGAGTGTCATATGACAATGTGTAAAATTTGGTAATGAATATAATGTAATTTTACCATATTGTATTAGAGTTCTTGTAAAAATAATATATGTCAAAATTATAAAAATAAAAAAATAAACATTGAGTGGGTGTTGAACCATGAACCTCCACCTTAAAATGCAAAAAAATTACCACTAGACTACTATATACTTTTATAAATATTATTACAACGAAATCATGTTACGGGCAAACAGTTCAAAAAATATTATAAAAAAACTCAATCTCATGGACCTCATCCACGACTTCCAATCTCGTGGACCCCATCCACGACTTCCAAAAAAATACATAAATCTCGTAATTAAAGTTAAAGTTATACTAAACTATACTATGCACATAAATTTTCTAGCAAAGATCTATTCACAACGTAGTGATAATGAAAATTTTAATTATTGTTGTTTTTGTCTCATTAGATTAACACTGATTAGATCTATTCACACTGATTTTTTGTTTGTTGCTTTATTATTGGGACTTAAATTTACCATATAGGGAATTTAATCTCTAGATTGCATGTTGTTCATCAATGTGGTCCTCTATGTTTTAAACCTTATATCAATCAAATATCAATAATGTTATATTAAAGCCAAACTTTCATAAAGGCCATTTATGGTCGTTCATAAGTCGATTGATCCACTATAAAAGGGGAAGGATCCACTTACTCCAAGAGTAAGTAGAAAAACACTTACTCCTCATCATGATCATTCATTCTTAGGGAATCCAATGGTTTAAATTTGTGATTATATCTAAACCATTGGATTTTTCAAGATTAGATAACTAAGATGAGAAATAAATATTTTTCCACTTACTCTTGGAATTGAATCCCCCCTAAAAAAATTATCATTTTCTATTTGCATATGAATATTATATTCATATATGTAATCTAATCTAGTATATTTTGTTTTTTATAAGAGTAAGTGGATCCTCCACCACCTAAAAAAAGTATCATTTTCTATTTGCATATGAATATTATATTCATATATGTAATCTAATCTAGTATCTTTTGTTTTTTATACTCTGTTGCTATCTTTTTAAGGCATTATAATACTCTAGACCCATTACAATATCATTGGTCTTTCCAATGAGTTTCGGATTTTTTTGAAAGTGGGAGCTTCTATTGATGTTTTTTAATAACCGAACTTTAGACCCATATACAATAAAATGCACCTGCAATGCAAGAAAACATAATGCTTCTCTTAACAGCCTGTGGATGTGAGATACAAAAAGAAAACATCTTTAAGCATTGAATGTGAAATGATAACCTTCTATCTAATTGACTAGTTGCTGCAACAATTTTCAATTGATAAAACAACTTCAAGTTCTTCAAAATAATAAAGATAAGAGTGGATTACGGAAATTATACAGACCACATCCCTGATCCCTGATTACTGACTGAGTTTCAGTGAAATAAATGTAATTTTTTTAACATAAAAAATGATGAAGTTAAACAAAACATCATTCAGCGTGCATATTATAACATTTTCATTATTTTTTATCATTACAAAATACAAGGAGATATTATTTAAATCACTCTTATAAGATATTATAACGAATAAAAATAATGAAAATGTGTTAAATCATGTACTATTTGGATTTTTTTCCATATTTTGTTTAAATCACACTTACCTCGGTAGTGTGTAATGTATATGCAAAAATCAGAGGGTTTTTTTGTAGGTATAAAAAATGGATGAATGATCTATGTAATTTCATTAAAACTCAGGGTGCGAGTGTACTAAAGATAACTAACCATTTAAAACAAACAAATTGATCTCAATAAAAACCCTAATAGTTTCATTTAATAGTATCTCTTTACTCTTCATTAGTGCCAGTTTCACCATTCTTCTTGTTGTGCTTCCTGGCATACCTTTGATTCCTCAGAAACTTTGGATCCATCTACATTTACCAATTAACAAAAATAGATAATTTAATTTGAAGAAAATTAATAAATAATAAAAATAGATGAATTAATAAATAAAAAATACCCCTTTGGTTAAGTGTGGCGGTGCCTCTTAGGTTTTTTGATGCCATTCCTGTGGGCCTTGTAGGATTGGTTGTGAGCAGTGTGATTCTTTGATTTCGCCATCTCAATAATCAACGCACAATGAATTAGAGAATATTACAATAAAACGAAAGTAATCGAAATTGAATATGTGACTATATAAAGATACGAACCCTAACGCTGAGAGAGAAGATAAGGTTTTGGTCTACTAGGGTTTTTCTTCGAAGCGTTATATATGAGTTGACATTTTCATCTAAATGACGATAATGTCCTTTACATTAGAAGTAAGGCTTTCGGCCTGCAAGAGTTGAAGAAGAGGCCCAAAAATGTCTCCTTACAAAAAAAAAGTAAAAAAAAAAAAGAAACACGTCTTAGAATAAGACCTAATGGTTGTATTTGTAAGAACAAAATTTAACAGTAATAAGTAAAATACATTAAACTAAAATGGAAAGGGCACTAGTTTATGTAGTTAAACTTTAAAAAATAATATTTTTTAAAGTAATGTGATTTTAAAAATGTTTGATTGAAATAATGAATTTGAAAAGAATGATTTTCTTTAAAAATGTTTTTATTCAAATAAAAAATTAAATGAATTGGATATTCACTCATCCAATCCGTTAAAATTGATTAATATATAGATTGGATGAATTAGAATTCATCTATTAAATTTAGATATGGGTGAATTGGATAATTCAAAATAATATTTAAATGAATTGGTGAATGGTTTTCCTTCTATCCGTTAGGATCCAAACTCAAATTCTTTCAAAATCCATCCATTTGTCACTTATATTCACATGTACACAAAAAATAAGTTGTTTCAATTGTGTAAGGTCAAATAACATTATTGGGAGAAACACTAATCGAAACACTTATTCTTCACTTATTTGGTAGGGAATACTCTTACTTACCACACAAAAATCTATAAAATATCATCACATGAAATCAATGTTATAAAAGTTTTAGAATTTAATATTTGTTCATTGGGTGTGGAATTTCTTAAATGGTTAGATTATTTTTGTATAAAAGTTAATGATGATTATAAATACATGAAAGATAAATGATATAGTTGAAAAAATCATTCCTATCATCTATTACAATAATAATCATTTATTTTCTAGTAAATGTATCATATATATATATGAATAGAGTAAGTGTTAGATGATGTGATTAAAGTGTAATTACAATATGTATGCATTGATAAAATGTCCTTATAGAGTAAAGGCTCTCATAATAAAAAAGAGATAGGAATTTGAGTAAATAACTATGCCAGCTACGCACCTTACCTACCTTGGTCTGTCCTCAATTCCCACCACATGCGTTTGTAACGCTGAATTGGTAACTTGTTATTATTATAATGCCAAAAAGACAGACACATGATATAGGATCTCTATCTAGGATCTGCTTCCTTCTCATTTCTCAATCTCCATTCTCCATTTCCCTTTTCCTTTCCACTTTTTCTGTTTAGATCTCAACACAACACAACACACATAAACCAAACTAAACTAAACTAAACATGTTCTTCTTTGACTGGTTCTATGGCATTCTAGCCTCTCTTGGTCTCTGGCAAAAAGAAGCCAAAATTCTCTTCCTTGGTCTCGATAATGCTGGCAAAACTACCCTTCTTCACATGCTCAAAGACGAGGTTCAAATCTCCATCTCATCTCTTACCCTTTTACAGCACATGTCTTACAATACTTTAAAAATTCAATTTTTATTTCATTATAACATAAAAATTTGATTTTTTTTTTGTTTTATTGCAGAGATTAGTTCAGCATCAACCAACCCAACATCCCACTTCGGAAGAACTGAGCATTGGGAAGATCAAGTTTAAAGCTTTTGATTTGGGTGGTCATCAAGTTGCTCGCAGAGTCTGGAAAGACTATTATGCAAAGGTTATTTTTATTTTTCATGCTTCTATATCGGTTTATCTTTATGATTTATAATCATTGATTATTTGGAAGGATTTATGATTTGTATGATTTATAGTTTTGGGAAGTAAGATTTCTTTCTACTTTCACAAAAGCTTATAATTTGAAGTTTTCTGAGAGTTTTTGGAAAAAGGGAAAACTGTTATTTCTTAAAATGTAAGCATTACCAAACATGCAGTAAGCGATTTTTGTTAGTGCATTAGTGGAGATTTGGATTTCAGTTGTATTAGATGGAGTATAGTTGTTGATAGGTTATTGGCCTTGTAACATTTTATTATTCCATTTATGGCAGAATTCCCTGAGAGTTGATACATTATCATGCAACTAAGACGTTCAAATTTGTACAATTTATAGCTCTAATAGGCAATATCATTGGATTTCATTCTTCTGTATATATTATAAATTTATAATGTATTGTTTGGTTATGACTTCTCTGCTAAGACTCTTAGAATGTAGCACCTTTGTTTGCTGGCTTGTTCATCTTTCTTCACTTCATTTATAGAGTGCCTTGATTTGTTCTCTACCCATTTTCTCGTGATCTTTTTGGAGATGATCCAACATCTGCATTTTCAGTTCTAGTTCTACAGTCTATGCAATTTTTTCTGATGCATTCATCTTCATAATAATATACTTAACTATTGGCTTTATTTTCATAAGTGCTAACTGGTCGATCCTACGATGTATGCCTTCATAATCCCAGATAAAAGCTCTTTGTATTTATCTGATTCATGTAGGCAAATATTGACCATGGAAGTTTCACTGGTAGCAGTCCTTTAAACCTTTCGGGATACATTTACTAGTAGATTTCCGAATATGTAATTATTTTCTCGTGATGAATTACATAAAGTGAACATACAGAAGAGTGCGAGTTACAAAAGCTTGAAGTTAGTTTGATGACTATTGTTTAGTATCTAGATGCATCACCTTTATTCAACAATTGAGTTGTAAGTTTGGAGTTTGATTCACTAAATTTTTCAGCCCTTGTTTTGATTTTACATATTCCAATGTACTACGGCCACTTGAAGGTCACTGGTTTCTTTAGCAGCATTAAGTTTTTCACTCACCTTTCGCTTGCCTCAGCTGCAATGACTCCAATCCTGCTTATAGTTTTTTATATGAATTTAGAATTCTCACCTATGTTGAGTTTCCAGGTGGATGCTGTTGTTTACTTGGTTGATGCCTACGATAAAGAGAGGTTCACGGAATCAAAGAAAGAACTTGATGGCTTACTTTCAGATGAATCGTTGGCAAACGTTCCATTTCTTGTACTAGGAAACAAGATTGACATCCCTTATGCAGCTTCAGAAGACGAGCTACGATATCATCTAGGCCTGACCAATTTCAGCACAGGAAAAGGTAAAGTTAATCTTACAGACTCGAACCTTCGACCTCTTGAAGTGTTCATGTGCAGCATTGTCCGCAAGATGGGATATGGTGATGGATTCAAGTGGCTCTCCCAATATATCAAGTAGAATCCAGCATCATTTTTGTTCCACTACTTTTCCCTGCTCAACTACCACTATCAGTATAGTTTTTATCTTTGGTTTTGCTTTTTTATGATTTTGATTGGATTATTTTGTACAACTCCAGTAATATTACATTATGGTAAAATTTGTATCTTCAAATGTTAATTTTTGGGGAATTGTCTCCTTTGAAATGTTGGATTTGTTGTAGTGTTATGTATTACTTGGCAGAAAAATAAGTTTGGAAGAATCTTAATGCACTTAGCATGCTTCTCTGTCACATATGAATGGTAGAGGAGTTTTATCTGATTTATATTTTATGTTCTTGACCAATCATTTGAACTATAGAACTTTTGACAATAAACATTGGACATTTTTTATTTTTTTTAATAACATGACAAATCTATAGCTAAATCTATTAGAACAAAAATTGGTGAAGTGTTATTCATATAACATTAGAAATGCTGAGTATATTGTTTAGAATATAAAATATAAATATTCTCTTGAAAATTGATATTTTAACATATAGAGATTAGTTGGAGATATAGTGTCTTCAAAATTGAAGTTTTAACATGTGGAAGATGGGAGGGAGAGGAAAAAAATTAGCATGAGATAGGTGTGTTAAAGTACGGTCTAGATCTCTCTCGAGTATCAACTCGTATGAGTGAGTTGTGGGTAGAAAAATAATAATATATCCTCATATCAAATGTTCTTACAAATTTTGGATATATTATATAAGAAGATTTATAAGAAAATATATCATCTATGACATGGATGTTAGGAATGGAGAAACAAGTTCCACATGTTAATCCGTGCAGATTCAGTGAGTAAGTTGTATGTAAAACAAAAAATAAAATATTAATAACATATAAAATTTTAATTAATATATTTAAAATTTAATCGACAAGTCATGTGTCTCACTTTGTTTTACTTTTAAAAAAATCATATGTAAAATAAATCTAACATATAACACATCAACAATTATTAAAAGCTGAGTTGACTTGTATTGGTTTGATAAATAAATTGTTTGATTACTTTTTAATAAATACTTTATTTGGCTATAAAAAGTTTAATTAATAATTTTAAAAATAACAATATTTTAATAAAAAGTTTAGGAAAATACATTATTTAAGTAAATTACCCTTTACTTAGAAAATACATTCTTCTGGTAAATTACCTTCTACCACAAACGAATTACTAAGCAGTTTTGGTGAAGATCCCTCAACTATGTGTTATTGTTCTCTTTTTTATGAGGATTTGACTTTTTTCTCACTGCTTTATTTTCTACTACAAAAAATCATATATTATATCATATTTTTCTACAAAATCAAATCCAATGACGCGTACCGACCAATGAATTTCTTACAATTGGCAACCCTGCCCAAAACAACCGGCTGTTCTGGTCACCTATTCTTCTCATATCACCCAAACACGTCACCAACAACCACTTCTTTCACCCGCTACACCGGTAACCAGTATTCACTCACCACTACTATAAGTTTCAAACAAGATCAATAGAACATACATAACCCAAGCAATCAAGTAAAGATTTTTTTCAGTTGAATTCATCAGCAGAAGAAGAAAAAATGTTTCTTTTTGATTGGTTCTATGGAATTCTAGCATCACTGGGTCTGTATCAAAAAGAAGCTAAGATCTTATTCTTAGGACTTGATAATGCTGGAAAAACTACATTGCTTCACATGCTCAAAGATGAGGTTTTGTTTTGTTATTTATCTTAATCTACATTTATATTTATATTTGATCAATTGTTGAAATTGTTATTCTTAATTTGTTTTATTATTATT